CTACACGTCACTCAGCTGATTGCCGATTTGATTCCGGAGTAAAATGGTGGATCCATTTTTTGTCTACTGTCTCATACTGACGCAAGAAATCCTGTTTATTGCGGGTCAACAGTGATACACAGCTTTCTGAGTTGTCAACTCATTGTTGCTTTTGTTCCATTGTGAGAAAACGCGGCACCCATTTCTAATAATAATAATAATAATAATAATCCTTTATTATCCAATAGACATAAGTATGCATAGGATTCGTCAAAAATAAAAAATCTATAACAAACATGGAAAATAAGTAACAAACAAATATGAGAAACAAACATAACATCTACACATTAACGAACTCTGAAACAGCGTACAAACATTTATTTAATAAAAAGGCCTTTAACCTATTTTTAAAATGTTGCGGTGAACTGCAGATTTTTATTTCTTCTGGCAGTTTATTATATATTTTAGGCCCCAAAACTCTAGGTGACCTTCTACCGACACAGTATTTGGCGAAAGGAACATACATATTTTCACTCTGCCTTGTTATGAAGGCATTTATATCCTTGTTAAGTAGTTGTGTATCCTTATTTTGATACATATATATTGAAAGTTCGTATACAAATAGAGAAGGCAACGTTAAAATTTGGTACTTTTGGAACAGCTCCCTACAGCTATGTAATGAGCTTACTCCGGCCATAGATCTTAGAATTCTTTTCTGACTTAAAAAGACATGTTGTGCATTGGTCGATACTCCCCAGAAGCATAAACCATATTTAAGCCTAGACTCTACCTGAGCATAATAGAGTGTTACTAACTGGTCTCCAGTCAATGTGGCTCGTAGAACTTTATACACATATGACTGTGAGTTCAACCTGGATACCAATCGATCACACAAATTGAAACATTCGTCCAACCACAAGCCCAAGAATTTTGTTTCTTTGATAACACTTAGTTGATTATCTTTAACTCGAAGATCAAGCGGAGTCATTTGTTTGTGCACGTTGTGAAATCTCATCATTGCCGTCTTCTCCACATTCAGGTGAAGATGATGTGCGCTAAACCAATCATGAACAATGTTTAATAAATGTTCACAGTCTTCTTTTAAAACTTGATTGGATTTTCTGGACAATATGATTGCCGCATCATCCGCGTAAAGCGTAAAATTGGCTTGGGAGAAAGAGTGCTCAAATTCATTTATGTAAAGAATGAAAAGAACAGGCCCTAAAATCGATCCCCGAGGTACGCCGATGTCTACGTACGTTACATCAGATTTCACCTCAGAGATAATGTTGTTGCTGTTTTCATGTAAACAAACATATTGTGATCGATCGGATAGAAAGGAGTTAATCCAGCTATAGGGTGTCCCAACAATGCCGACTTGAACCAGTCTGCCCAGAAGTATCTCATGATTGACACAGTCAAATGCCCTGCTGCGATCACAAAATATCCCAACAGGACATTCGCCTGCCTGAATCGATGCTATAATATTCTGAATGAAACTCAGCAAGGCCGTGTGTGTCGATTTTCCGTTGCGAAAACCGTGTTGGTTAATTGACAAAGTATTTTCAGATTCTAGGAATCGCAACAATCTATCTAGAAAGCAGTACTCAAATATTTTGGAGAAGCAGAAAGGAACTGTTATTGGTCTGTAATTGGAAATCTTTGAAGGATCTCCTTTTTTAAGAACTGGGATTACCTTCCCAGTTTTTAAGGATTGGGGAACCTTCCCATGCAAAAGGAGAGATTTACTAGAAATACAAATGGTTTCACTATATATTTTAGTACTTTTTTTACAAGAAATCCCGGAATACCATCTGGTCCGGAGGAATGTTTGTTTTTCAATTTCGAAGAGATCAAGTCGAAAAACTCTTTATCGCTAAAGGATAGAGAAGCATTTGCCGACAATGAGTGGGACGCGAATCTACGGTTTCAATATTTGCCCGATTTATATTATTTACAATGTTTAACGGAGTATCTTTAAAATAGTTATTGAATTTATTGACTATATCCTGAGTATTACTTAATGTGTTACCAGCATCCTCCAAAATTATACTGCTTTGACTCTTTTTATTATCTGTTAACTTTTATACTACCTTCCAGACAGCCCTATTACGATTCGAAGACTTGGATATTTTATTATGATAATATTGTTGCTTTGCTGAAGTTACTAAATTTCGATGATTCTTTTCTTATGAAGCTATGTCTCTTTAGTATCTGGGATGATTTTTGACAATAAATAGGAATCCTTGAGTTGTTTGCTGGATTCCTTTACTTCATTATTAACCCAGTCTTGGTGGGCCGTTTTAACCAAGTGTTTACGCAGCGGAAAATTAACTTGAAAATGGTGGTTGAAATTTGAGAAAAAGTATCGAAAGCTAATTCAATGTCAGACATGTTGTATAAACTGGTCCAAATTTCAGAACATATATCGGATATAAAGTTGTGATATTTTTATCGTTGTATGATCTTTTTTCGACAAAAACTTGTGGCCCATGAGTTTGGTTGATCACACTTAATTCTGACAGCACTGTTCGATGATCAGAGATGGTATTGTCGACTACACAGTTTTGCCCAAAGTCCAAGAAATTTACATATATTTGGTCAATCGTTTTGACTGATGTGCCACCTATGCGCGTTGGCCACCCTATAATCGGAAACAGGTTTGAACTCATTCAGTTGGTTTTTAGATTAACTAATTCAGAATTTGGTTGAATAAAAATCTACGTAAAGTCACCACACAAAATTAACTAAGCCTAGGTTGTATACATAACTTAAGACTTCATTAAGCTTATCACAGAAAGTTTTTATATTACCTGAGGGAGACCGATAACATACTATCATGATAATGATATTCTTGAATTTTGTGGCACATAGCTCTATGTCTTTTTCTGTCGAGAAATCCGAACATCAATCATGGTACTAGTAATGTCAGATTTAGAAAATATAGCTGTTCCCCCTCCCTTGTACCTTGTTCGACAATAAAAACTGGACAAATAGAAATTATCAATTAAAAACTTTTCAATAGAATCATCAACAGCCCATGTTTCCGTTAGGAATACAAAACATTACACTATTAAAATCTTTTACAAAAATACATAACTCATTTAACTTATCTAAACTAAGACACTGGACATTCAACAATAAAAGTGTAGGATAAAAATTCTATCTGACTAGAGTTATATCTTTTTTCTTGTAGAAAAAATGCACTTCCGGTTGATATGTGTACTATCTCAGCAATCTCACGAACTTTCATTTTGCGGTCATTCGTCACGATTTTTAAAACCTGCTTAACATTTTCCGAAGTTACTGCTTCATTTGGCCTACCCGAGCGTTTCCGCATCCTTTGTATCAGTACGACCGCGACGGAGCAGAGTCCGGATAACATTTTCAAGCCATTGCTGAGCTTGGACGGTATTCTTTCCCATTATAAAACAATGTTTTATCAACGCACGAAATTCGTTAGGTTAGGTTTCTTGTGAGTGCATCAGTAACGATCCTCCTCTGCGACTCTTTGGACTATTGTGGCTCACACCTATTTACATTCCCCTTGTAGCTCCGACCTCCCGAGGAAGTCGATCAACTTGTTTGGAGAAATATCCTTCAGTTTTTTCTGGCAATTACAGGGCATCTGCACAATACATGCATGAACGTTTCATCTCCCTCCATGCACAATCTGCACTCAGCGTCTTCTGCCATGCGCAGCCTGATCATGTGGTGTCGCAATTTGCAATGATCAGTGTACAGTCCTACTAGAACTTTGAGGCTATTCCTGTTCAGCCTGTCAAGATAGGTATAGTTGCCGTAGCATGGGTTAACCCTGCTAATCCCTCCCAGTATTGATGGATCTTTCTGTCCATCTCTGCAGAGATTATTCGTTTAGCCGTATTGTATGCGATCCCAATCGCTGGTTCAGGCCCTATGAAGGGTGTGCTAGCCCCACTCTTTGCCAGAGTGTCAGCTCTCTCGTTTCCCTCTAGACCTGCTTGTCCTGGTATCCACATGAGACGAACTTCAGTTCCCTCCCCTATGCCACCGAGAGCTTCTTTGCAATTCCACACTAATTTCGATATCGAGTAGGTGGAGTCAAGTGTTTTTAAGTGCGGCTTGACTATCTGAAAAATGATTATTAGTTCTGTGCCTCAGTTGTCGTTATGCGATCATTCGGGTATCCAGTTCTATATCATGGCAGATCGATGCCCAGGTTCCTAGACTAACAGATTTTTTAATCTTTAGCTTCGGCAAGAAGATACCAGCTCCATCACCTACCTCGGTCTTGGACTTGGTAAGTTCACCAGCCTGTCCGTCTCCTCCATAGCGATATTTTCCATTATACTATTTGCCACATGATGTAGTCTATAAGATGTCCTTCATGGCTCGCCTTCCAGGTATATGTGCAAGAGGGGGTAAATTAAGAAGGACCTCCATAGCTGTAGTTGGTGTGGTACGAAAGGCACCAGTGATCAACATCCAAGCTTCTTTCTGCATTGTGCTCAGTTTGTCTTGGACAGTGCTTTGTGCTGCCTTGCTCCACCAAGCTATATATCCATAGGTCTAATAACCATGGTATAAAGCCAAAACATTTGTTTAGGCTTCATTCCCCAGTTCTTTCCACAGACCCTTGGGCAGTTCCATAGCTAGATCCTTGCCTTTTTAAGGACTAGCTCCAGGTGCGAATTACAGTTTAGTGTTTTATCTAAGATTATTTCTAGATATTTCGCTTCTGCAAACGGTACATTTTCACATTGGATTGTTGGAGGTTCAATCCCATCCAGTTTTCTCTTTTTGATGAAAGGTATGATGACCATTTTTAGTTACAAGGACAGGTGTTTTTGTAATGATAAAACCCCAAGTCTCTAAACACCCTGTATACGTGAAGCTTGCTATTGCGAGTGGGTAAATGTTGAATAGCTCCTTTGTATTTAGGTATTCATCATTCCACTCAAAATACCGTAATCCAGAAACAGCAACAACTAGATTAAAGGCTGGAACACTTAATCCCTAACGTAACCTTCGAAACTTACTCTGTGCTTCTCTCTCTGATCCAATGGCTTTTCCTTCGACAATAATTAAAACAATAAATTATAAAGCGAAGGTAAAGGATTATACCAGTTTGGGTAATACAATAATACTTCTTTTTCACATCAGAATGTCACAAGCTTCAATCTAGTGGGCAATCCTTTCTATATGAGAGTGGATGTTTGTTACTTGAATGCGCCCAAATGGCTGAACGGATCTGCATGATATTTGTTACAGAGATAGATTATACTCTGGAGTAGCACATAGGCTACCTTTTATTTCGGAAAATATCATTGAAATATCTATCTTACGGGCTACATCCCCAACAGCTCATTGAAATTTGATATGAGGTGTCGCGTGGACGCGCTCGGTCGCTGGTGCGACCGAAATGAGTAAGAGTATATAATTAGAGCATTTACATCGTACATCTAGAGCTGTAACGCCAGTCGTACCTACATTTGTAGGACGCCTTTATGGCCTCCTTGATTGTCATAGTTTTCTACTGTTCCGTGTCACCGCTCCATTTTGAGGTTATGTTACAAATATCTTTTTGCAATTGTTTATTTTGATTTATATCATCTGGTCTAACAGTCTGAAAACATAGCCTTACAATAGGAGAGTGTTGACGCTGACACACAACAAATCTGGAAGTATCCCAGTCCTTCTGAAGGAGAGCAAAGACTATGAAAATCAAGGAGGCTATAAAGGCGTCATACAATTGTAGGAACGACTGACGATACGGGCCTTATTGCATTTCGACATTCGTTTTCTTACCATGATCGTCTTGATTTAGATTGTTTGGTGTTTTGTCTTACTTCAAGTAATGGTGAAGTGAATAAAAATAGTTACTCAGACAACCTTCAAGGCTGCTATGCGGATAAGGTACATGCATCTGTTAACTCGAAAATCTAACGCTGCCTGGTTCGGTAATTTCTTCTTTTTCTTCCCTATATATCAATGTCATTGTCTATCATCATCACATGAACCACAATATGCAGAGAGAAGTTTGTACACTTTCTAATTAATTCCCGAGGAAGGTTATACCTGTAGGTATGGTTTTATCAGCGAAAATACCAACATCTCTACCGTTAGCATCAATCCGGCAACAGCGTGGACAGCCATTAAAACATTTTTTAATACAATGTTATGAAATTCCGATCACGTTTTGTTTCTTTAATGACATTAGTAACCGACAGCCAACTTGTATGCTTGGGAACTTTGATTAATTTATTAGTTATCCATACATATTCTATCCATTAGATGTAGCGCGGTGCACCCTTACCTGTCTACCCTTACAGCTCCAAACCACCCAGCGGTACTTAGACCCTTGCGGTGGTTCAAATAAAAAAGTATCCTGAAAGGTATCTCCCAGACTAACAAAAAAAAAACTGAAACACGATGCATTATCCTGGGTTTTTATGTGGTTCCTCGTTAATTTGTGCGTCTTAAAATTAATGGGTCAAGATAATTTTGGTGATATTAACCTACTTGCTTAGTGTAATGTAAACCGTTAAGCTGTAATTGAATTTACAATGTTTATTCTTTAGCGCAAGGATTTATGTTTTTACATAAGGAGCAATGTATTTGAAAGAACGTGGTAGGTATACAAAAATAAATATTATGCCTTTGCATTTGGTCCCATCATATCATTTGTTTTTATTAATCTAGGGCACAGAAACAAACATGACACCTTTGTTGAGCCTTTAGAGGATGATTTTCCTTATAGTCTTCTCACACTTTTCTTTTTTTTTGGATGCTTTTACGTCTTATCCCACTGGCGAGGAAATACTGTACTCGTAATCGCGAAAGATTTGGAAAATGAGAATGGCTTTTGGATGTTATATAATATGTATATCACGAAAAGTCATGCAACTCACTTCCGTCGGACTGTCGGTCTGTCTGTTCGCTAATCCTTCGCCACTATAACTTGGGAAGCACCTCCCGGATTTGGCTGAAATTTTCGCACAAGTTAAAACTAAGTCAAGAACGAAAAAGCTTTGTAGTTTTTTAAAAACCGGTCCAGTAGCGGTGGTGCTATATGCAAAAAACGTAAAACAATTCGCTGAAGGAGTGTTTTTGACGACTTGATCATTTTCAGGAATTTTTTCAGGAGTGAAAAATTGGTTTTGTGGTTGTAGAGGTGTCAATTTTGTCGTGCTAGTAATTTAAACGTTTCCAACCTAGGTAATTTTACAGATCTATTAGATATATTCGACATAGATTCGTGTTTCTGGGTATGTAAAGTCGCGCTGGGCTTGCGGGTGCCGCGTCAGGCAGGGTTGCCACGTTGCTGCGAGTAAGGAACTGTCCGTAGGGCGCGGTGTTGTCAAATCTATAAGGGCAATGATTAATTGTATGAACATATTTGGATAGGTCCTTCCAGAAAACAAGAAGATTGATATAAGATACTGTAGCGCTTTTATAATTATCTGTTAATCTGTAAGCGAGCCAATAAGCAAAACCATTGGATTAACAACCTGCCACTCCGCCATTTTGAAAGATCGTGAACTTCACATTCCAGGGTATTAAATTACTTATAATTAGCGCTTAAACAATGTACATGTATCTCATGAATATTTTGAAGTAAAATTCATATATTTATAGCAAAAGCTTGAGAATCGTGAGAAAACTGAATATACTAGAAATAAACAGAGTTTTTTAATTTTATAACGAGTCTTGAATCAATATATAGGTGAATATTCAGTACTTGGGATTTCAATGTTGCGCCAAAAAAAGCTCTAAGCAAATCGACAAAATTGTGGAAATAAACCATCCAATAGTGCAAAATATCATGTTATTTAGGATTTAGCCACAATATAAGCGCAAATGAACAAAATTTTCACTTCTGTGTATGCTCAATACCGACTTTTACCGCAAATATCAACAAATCCCTGTATAAGTAACTAGTATAATCGTACAGGGTTGTTTGTAAGGTCGCGTCGATACAAGGTCTCATCAAATTTTAAATCATAAATAGTAAACGAACAAAGTAAACTATTGAAACATGCTTTATTGGTGTTCAAAGTGAGAACCGTTGTTCCTAATACATGCTTAAATGGTCTCTTGATACGATTTCTTCTAAAACTAAACTAACTGTTTAGCACGCCTCCAGACATAAAAATCCAATGGTGTCAAGTCCGGGGATCTAGCAGGCCACGGAATTGGTCCACCTCTGCCTATCCAGATATTCGGAAAAGTATCGTCCAAATATTGTCTTACATCTAAACGGAAACGAGCTGGACATCCATCGCGTCGTGTTGGAAAATAATTTGCACGTCATCTGGAATTTCTACTCCTACAAGTCATTCGGGAAGATCGTTTTGTCAAGTGTAGATACTGTCGCCGTTAAATCTTTCAGGCAAAACATGAGGACCGATTAATCTTTGTCCCATGACGGCGTCCCATACATTAACGAAAAATTTGTGCTGGGAAAACACCTGCTTTCTCCATTGTAGATTTTCCTGCTTATCAGCCCATTGATGCAAATTGTGAAAATTTGCAATGCCCTCCTTTGAAAGATTGGATTCGTACATCCATAGATTGCGTTCCAGGAACCGTTCATTCTCAATGTCACTAAGTAAGAGAAAATGACAAAATTGGCTTGGAGGATTAGATCTTCGGCTTCAGGAGGATATCGATCTGGATTAATACCAGGTTCATTACGTGTTATACTTAGTCTCATAAAGACGTCGGTAAGTATTGTAAAACACTCTGACATTAGGCAATCTTCTCTCAGGAAATCGCTCTTGGTACAACCGTCGGCGTCGTGCTTCTACTCCATTGCCATCTGCTCTGCCATACATGTAACCGATATCTGCGTATTCTTTGTTAGTGAAATCGGGCCATTTTACGAACTAACTAATTCAGGGGTTTTGGACTGAAATTCATGAATTACTATTGACTTGTTTGGAAAGGAATGCAGCAAGAATGTGTGAAATTTAGTTTTATCGTGCACGCAAACACTTCCTTCTTATCAGTATCGCAAAAGTAGGAAAACATGTATTTATTATTTGTTTACAGTCAAGTTGTTTCTCTTTTCTGTACATTCGGAGAAAAAAAAACACACTGTCAGGTATTTAAAAAACTATTTCATATAGCCTGATGTTCTTTCAGTGATAACAGAAACAAAGGGCATACTTTTTCAATAAAATCGAAAATCTCGAATAACTCGAAAACCGTGAGACTTTGAAACTAAGGTATTTTTGGCTTAAAAAGATTATGCCTTATCACTTCCCAAGACTTTGTATCGACCTTTCAAAACCCTGTATACGAATGTTCATGGATTGCTAAATACACATTATAACATATTTCATGGAAAAGAGAACTAAACATTTGTATAAACGCATATAGAAAACTTCCAAATATTTCTAGCTTCCAAACACATCCGCTTACTCTGAGGGTTTTTGAGCTCTCATCCATACGATTCTCTGTTTCAAGGCTCATGAAACTGAAAACTGGTTATTCGAATAAAGAACTATTGAATTTACTTAGCTCATAGTTTTATATGACGTTCAAAGTATATTATCTATAGTTTAATGTTTAAATGCCACCCCTTGGCCACACAGTTCTCTAGGTACCTATAAAAGCTTCAAGATCACAATATTGTCTGTCTCTGTCAAATACGTATCACATATCTTATAGTATTGGGAATGAATATGAAAACAAAATAAGCGTTTTTTTTAGTTTGACACTGAAAACCCACATACCATATATTCATCCTTATGCATCAAGTCCCTAATTCTGTAATCGAAAAGTTACGTGCCTTAAATACGTCATTTTGCTGCACGTAAAGGGCTGAACCATGCATTTCTCATTCCAAGAGCTCTGAACTACATCGACATCCAACATCTAAAGTTCGTTCACCCACACTGAAGTGTTGCCTTTTATATTATGCATGCAGTCTATTTGGCATCATTAGTGTCACAATACATAATGTACTTGCACTCCTACATGCACACAAGGATACAATCCATCACTCGCTGTAGCTCTACTTAGAACGCTATCGGATAACTTTATCGGAGTTTTCCGCATTCGATTTTCAATGGAGTTTGCATTGAGCGACAAGCTATGGTTTCCGCCACAGAAGAGTTTATATTTTTAATATGTGTATGGTTGCATGGATACTTTAAGCTCAGTAAAGAGATTTTTAACGAGTAGGTATGTAATCTGAATGTGTATTAATAAGGCTTTCGTACTATCCAACAACAAAGGGTCAAACATCTGTTTCCTGCTTACTACCAATCATCAGCATGGTTAGGTAGGACAACCTACAGACTGACGAAAGCACAGTAAAGTTATCCTCTATGGGAGGTATAAGGTCTATTCTAATATGACCGCACACGTTCCATCTATTACCAGAATCGACCACTGCTATGTCGTATAGCAGCGCTCTGTTGTAAAGCTATCGACGCGAACTGAGATACCTTTACAGTTCAAATAGCCGCTATTCGCTCTTAGAGTGGCCGGTTCTTGTCATAAATGGAGTAACGTGTAGGCAGATGATTAATAATCTTTCAATAAAATATTAGCCTTACGCGCTATAACTATAAACTTCACCTATAACCTTTGTATGCTCTAGATTCTCGATCCTTACAAATTGCATGGCATAAAGTAGATAGAGAATTTATTCGAGTAAATCTAACATGCTGTTGTGGAAGTTTATTCTGAAGTGGGCTATCGAATATAGCTAAGTTTAACGAACCGAAATACGAGAAGTTTAGGTAAACTTTCCAATAAGCTGTAGAAATGTGTTGGGAGTTTTATAACTCCGCTATATTATTGCAGAGATCGGTAATGTTGCCTTCTAAAAATTCGAGTGATGCATGGTGATTATGAGAAAGCTTTTTGGAGCTTTATACATGTGAGACAGAAGTTGTGATTTATTTCAACTGTCACTTTGATATGCTTAATGGTTACGTGATAATTCAAAAAACTATTCTTAAATAGTCCCTCGACCTCTGTATTAAAGAATAGGTTATGAAAGGTAGTACTCACGTCGGTGAAAATATACACGATGTTCCGTTCTTAAAAAATATGTTTTGCGGTCTGAGTGGCCTAACGCTCTACAACTAATCATCAAAACATTATTTGTAATATAACTCTTCTTATTTTAACACAGTATATTCGATATTGTAAATATAACTCTTCTTATTTTAACACAGTATATTCGAATATGGGACAAATATTGTCCATTCCATATAAAAAAATCTACTTTAATAATAATAACGTCTTTTATGGTATGTATTTTAAATTTGGGTCACCCTGTCTGATGATGATTATTTTAAGTTCTTATAGCGATGCTTCATCTTCACAACTAGGCCACCCTTCAGTACCGACTACCTCACAAGCGGAAATATGTTTTTTCGCGCGTGGGTATGTATCCAAACAATAATATTTTATGGGCTACAAGCCAAACCGCACGGATATCACGTATCTTGAAAAGTGACATTATTATTATATTTTTGACATTATGTAGGTTTTTCTACAAGATGTTAACTTAGCACTTAGTTGTACGTGTTGCCTAAACGTTATGAGGTTTGTTATCAATCTTTGGCTTAGATATGATGTAAAAACTGCTTCTGAGATGGCATTACTGGAGGTCTAAGCTGTGAGTTGAATGTGTTGATGACAATTACATTGGGTTCTTGTCTCAAATACACTTAATTGAGATTCAAAGCTAGAAATTAGTTGCGCATTCACTTTTTCTTATCCATTCCGAAAATGACATATACAAATTTACTGAATTTAAAAAATTAGAGAGATAAGAAATAATTATATTCACTCTGCACTTTCGAATTACAAGCCATATATATGGTAACAGTAATTACACGCAACGCGGGCGTGGTGATGATTTCCCGTAATTCTCCTCAGTTTTCCGTAATTAACTTGAACATAACCCTCTTCAAAAAGCACAACATAAAAATAACCCGTCGGGCACCGCCAATAGATATACTTCATTGGCAGCATATTCAGTAATGACTTTGTTACACAGCAAATATCACTGATTTTATACACATGCAGAGCAATACACATAATCATCCAGATACGATCTTGCTATTCAACCAAATTTAAAATAGAGATAAAAACTACAGACAAGGACCTCTTGGCCTCACAAAACATATGCAACCAATAATGCATATAGTTTAGTTGTGTGATTCCTCCATAGATGGACGTTCACAACGATGAGCAAAGTGAGCAAACATGTTTGCGCCCTAAAAACTACCTAGTATGCAAGATGACATCTTATAGGTTTTTTTGACGTTTTATAGGTTTTTACATGATACCCGTGCCGCTTTATGGATTCCACATATAAGTTTGTTGTTGGATTCGCCTTAGCAGTGCGAGTGATGTTGGTTATTTAAAAATTAAATAAAATTGAAAAATGGTGGATTTAATCGAAAGATTCAAGTTTGATATTTCTACGAGGGGGTGGCTCAAAAAAGCCGGATTATTTTTTAAAAGCTATTCATTTTCAACTTTGGTCACAAAGTAACCTTGTCTCCTTCAAAATACTGTCCACTACAACCAATACACTTGTCACACCGGTGCTTCCACTGCTCGAAACATTTTGTTGAAGTCTTGGAAATTTCTGACTGCGGCTTGCTGGTTTTTTCTTGACCTCTTCAATGTCGTTAAAGCGGCGTCCTTTCATGCTTCTTTCCATCCGTGGAAATAAGAAAAAGTAAGCACGGAGCCAGGTCAGGCGAAATAAGGTATGTGAGGCAGCGGAACTATTTTTAGCCAGAAACTCTCGAACAGAGATGGCTGTGGTCCATTATCGTTGCGGAAGATAACCAGTCTCATGGCTGCCACAAATCGGGTCTTTGCAATCGTCCTTAAAACTTCCAGATAGCATAAGCTCTCGATTTTTTCAACATTTTCGTGGGATATGGACAGTTGATGGACGTCCAGAGCGCAGTTTATCATCAATCGACATGTCGCCATTTTTAATATCATGCAAACCACTCGTACACCTGAGGTTTTTCCCATAGCATCATCATCGTAAGCTATTTTCAACATTAAAACAGTTCAGTAGAGCAGCTTTACCAAGTAGAAAGCAAAATTTACAGCTGCACGTTGCTGTACTGAAGCTTTCCATCGTAAAAACCAAAGCACGAAAATAATACTACAGAGGAACGAAACAAGCCAGATCGATCACTCAGGTGGCACTGAACTGGTAATGAGTTGCTCTGTACGCCTCTAGGGGCAGAAATGGGTTCTACACAAGCTCCGCCTACTGAAATGCTATTCCAGTTATTTTTGGGTACCTCCTCGTATTTCATGGCTATAGTTCAAACGACTTGATGGATTTTGACATATGAAGTGTCTCTAGGTTTGTCTTGTTAGCCCGAGTGACAGAGGGTATACTGAAATTTCGTAAAATCAAAAAGGTGGTTACTAAACATTCAACCTTGAGATTTATAGTGCACTGGTTACAGATCAAACGGCATGATGGATTTTAACATTTGAAGTTTGTAGTGTCCTTAGATTTGTCTTTATGTGTAATTAAAAATTCATCTTTTCAGTCACTTGTTATTATTTCTGTGATTTTTCAAAAGGGTCTTGCTTATTTT